TATAATTAAAATAATTGTTTATTTTTTCCTCCAGACCTCTACAACCTCACGGACACTCCCTTGTGCTTACTAGTAAGCATCCATCATCAGTGATATTGGCCATTGTTAGCCTGTTCTTACTATGGGTCATTTATGTGCATTTATTCAGCGTAATTAATGATGCAGTAAACAGTGAAGTCAAGTGTGTCTACCACTTTGAGTCATTTGCCTGTACAGAATCTTTGTTAGGAGAGTTCACATTCCTCCTGTTTCTACAACCACTTTTTATTAATCCTATTTGTAGTTACCTCTTCCTCTGCTCATCCCTTAAATCAAAGTCTTTCCAAGGGTTCCTTCCTAGGTCTGTTCTCTCTACAGCCTCCCTAGGTGACCCCACATAGCCCTATGACTTGTGATTCCCACCTCTCTCCTGACTATTTTATATGCACGTATAAAATAGTGTCTGCCCCTTGGCTGGCCATATACACCTCAAATTCAGCAAGCTAACTGAACTCATCATCTGAAACCACCTGCATGCCCCAGAAAACCCTCTTCCTTCTAGCGTTCCCTCTACCATCCTTCAGTTGCTCAACCTAGAGACCTAGGACCATCCTCTGCTCCCCTTTCTCCCTTATGTTCCCAGCCAAGCTACAAGTCCTATGGATTCTACTTCCTTAATATCACACGAAACTATCAGTTTTTCCTCTAGTTCTAGGACACAGTCCCTCAACTAGACTACTGTGACATCTTCCTAAATGGTCATTCTGTCTTTGATTTTACTATTGCCTTGCCAACCCCCATCCCCTCTTTCACCTGGCTGGGGAGTCTTCCATGGCTGCCCAAACCTTGCATTAGGTGCACGTTTTATTTCTTTTGCAGCCCCTCCATTCCTCCATTGTAATGATTATTACTTCCTATCATTACTGGCTGCTTATTTTTCCCTATTTCCCCGCCACACATTAAACCCACTGAGCTTAGGGTCCTTTCCATTCAACCCCCAGGGCCTAGCACAGTGAAGACTGCACAGAAGGGACTCAGTAAATACTTCTTAAATATTGTTGTATATTCGTCAATTTTTAAGCTTTCTAATACTTAAACTATAAAACAAGTAGAGAGAAATTATAAACACAAAACTTCATGATGACAAAGTCTGGAATCAGAATTCCTGGATTAAGTTTCTGGCTCTATCATTGCCTTATTGAATATTCTTGACAAAACCCAAAATTTTCTCACTATAATGTAATCATGTAACACTCATCATTTCTGAGTACACAATAAAAATGACAATAGTATCTTGAATTTATGGCTTCCAAGTAGTTAGCAGCATTTCTTATGAATTACTTATTTGTTCACCATCCCTTTGGGGTAGGCCAGCGTCTTTCCTTCTAGAAGGCAATGAAGGGAGATAGAGTTCCTCCTGTAATGGTGTCAAAACACCGGTCCTGGTTGGTTACCTACTTCACAGAATGTGGGGAAGATTCATGAAGTTATCTGAGTCTTTATGCTCAGGAAAATGTGTTCTGTAAAGTAGTTTTACACGCTTGTATATCCAATTTCTTAAGAGCTCAAAATATTTGGGGGTGAAAATGTGTACAAATTATTTCAGTACTTCAGCTTATTCCTGGGCTCTTTCTCCATGTTTTTCTGGAGACAGTTTTTTTTTTTCCACACCCACTCAAACCATCTGTGTACCAGGCAAGTTTTCCAAGATGTAAAACCAAGTGAAATATGTCCATTCCAGTTATTTAGAAAGGACTGTGACTAATGATACTGTGGAAGAATGGCACGGGTGATGAAAAAGTACGCTGTCTGTGTGAACAGCTAGGGCAGCCTAGCAGTTAGAGTCACGCAAAGCCTAGCCATACAGACAAGCAGTCAGCACCAGTGCTTTTCAAACTTACCCTCCAAAGACCTTCTGCTGGAAGCAGAATCAGCTGAGTGTCTCTGTGACCTGGAGATATCCCCTGTGAGATGAGGTTCTCTACCACCGTCAAATGGTAACATTTTTAAAAATTTGTGCAAGTTTTACATTCTATCCCAAATATGTCAACGTTTGCTTTATATAAAAATGTCTCAAATTACTTACCATTGGGGATTCCCTGGCAGTGCAGTGGTTAGGACTCCGCCCTTCCACTGCAGGGGCACGGGTTCAATCCCTGGTTGGGAAACTAAGATCCTGCATACCACATGATGCGGCCCAATATACATATATATATATACACACCATTCATTAAAATGGACTCTTAAGGAAGAGGTACCATATTTATTATTGCCTTTAAACTCTCCCCAGGACACTGGCATGTGCTTTTTTTCAAACATTACCCCAGTTTGAAAAGCACAGAGTCCTAGGATATTGCAGCCCAGGCCGTGGTTTTTTGTTAGAACTTAAGAGAATTTGCCCACCTGTCCCCTTTCTACTTTGCTACATGTAAACTCCTGAAGTCCTTTTGCCTAACTCGCTGATGAAATCTTTTAATTGTTGCTCTAAGCACCCGAGTGGTAGCGTGTCCACTGTTAAGATGATGGAGGAATATAAAATCAGCTTCCTCAGCAACCTAAGTGTCCATCAACAGATGAATGGATAAAGAAGATGTGGCACATACATACAGTGGAATATTATTCAGCCATAAAAAGAAACAAAATTGAGTTATTTGTAGTGAGGTGGATGGACCTAGAGTCTGTCATACAGAGTGAAGTAAGTCAGAAAGAGAAAGACAAATACCGTATGGTAACACATATATATATGGACTCTAAGAATGAAAAAAAAAAAGGTCATGAAGAACCTAGGGGTAAGACAGGAATAAAGACACAGACCTACTAGAGAATGTACTTGAGGATATGGGGAGGGGGAAGGGTAAGCTGTGACAAAGTGAGAGAGTGGCATGGACATATATACACTACCAAACGTAAAATAGCTAGCTAGTGGGAAGCAGCCGCATAGCACAGGGAGACCAGCTTGGTGCTTTGTGACCACCTAGAGGGGTGGGATAGGGAGGGTGGGAGGGAGGGAGATATAAGAGGGAAGAGATATGGGAACATATGTATATGTATAACTAATTCACTTTGTTATAAAGCAGAAACTAACACACCATTGTAAAGCAATTATACTGCAATAAAGATGTTAAAAAAAAAAATCAGCTTCCTCAAATAGAGATTTTCTGTTGGAGAAAAAGTATCTGTCTGAGATGGGAATTATCTAACCACTTCTCTCTTTAGATCTCATTAACACTGGAAACCAAACTAAGTTCTAAAACTTAATGCTTTTTTGTAAGCATTTAGAAAATATGATCAAACAGCAAACTGGTCATGCTCAGATATGAGTGCAAGAAGTGACTTATTTATACACACGAATTTCAAAACATTTGTAAGGTCTACCATGTGTGCTGTTAAAAAGGTTTTAATTTTAAATTATTTTTGTTAGATAATCCCATTTAAAGTAACACTATGATTTATCGCCACTAATCAAGATGCTGATCCCTCATAGACTTCTTGTTTGTATCTGTTTTTGTTCTTTGTTACATAAATACGAGGTTTATATATAAAATTCTGACTGTGTAACATAGGGCTAATGAGTCACAGATGGAAAGATGCTGGCGCATTACCATCTAATAACATTTTAAACTCATATTCCATAGTAAAACAAAAGCAAACTGTACACATCTGTTTTCCAACTTGTAGCATTTCTGAATTTGTGGAGAGTCTCTGTTTAAAGGACGTTTACTTGAGGAGAAGAAAAAGAGGATATAGGTCACCTCAAAACTACCCAGCCACTTAATAACCTTATCAGATAGGACTTGGCAAAAGGGATAAGATTTCCTCGGCTTTGCTTCCTGAGAAGTCCCGGCTCTAAAGGACAAGGATCAGAGGCATTAGGGCTGAAGAGATGTCTCAGCCTACAAACATAATTTTATTGTCTCTCTTAAGAAAAATATATCCCTAATAAGGAGGAAAGAAGGGGGAAAATATACCAAAACTAATAAACTTTAAAAACTAGAAAATTTCTGGCTTTTTCTAGAAATATCCTCGAAGTAGATTTGTGTGGGAAGAGGGGAAAGGCAGTGGGGAGGAGAAAACATAGGAAGGAATCCTGCAGACACTCGAGACCATATATTATCATGGTGGTTGTTTAATTTTTTGTATGGTAAAAGTATTCTTTATGGGAAAAAAATTGGAATACAAGGCTCTGATATCACATGTTGTCGGAAAAAGAACACAGGCAAAATTTCTCTCTCAGACCGACCCAATTGATAACGCCTGTGAACACAGGTTAGTACAAGCTAGTAAAGTACAGGCTTTTAAAATATCCTTTGCCCATTTTCCTTGGTTAAGGAATTCAAAACCACTTTTCTGCTTCAAGGGGGTGTGTGAACTGTCAAGTTCTTTTGGAAAAGTTACGTGACAGAAGTGATTACTGCAGAGTGTGACCATAAATCCCCCTGACATGAAATACACATGTTATAAGAGACAGATTTCCATCCACCACCTCTGCAGGAATTCCTGAAACAGGAAAGACCTGAGAATCATCATATGATTGGAGACAGAAATTTTGATATGTGGGTGGTAAGACTATATTTTTTGACGCGTACTGCATTTATTCTGAGGAATACATCTGATCTGACTGCAAAATTCTGTTCACTGTTGTCCAAAAAAGATTTGATACATGTATTGTATGTCCCGAGTTGTAAACAGAATATCAGTAGAGGGAGATTACAGTGTTGTGTTCATAACGGAGTCTGTAGTTATCTTCATTCTGTACTAACATTGTGTACGTAAGAGTCCAGAAATCTTAAGTGTATGTACACAGATCCCAGTGTACCTGAGTTCTCAAGCTGACCGTTCCCTTTAAGAAATGGTTGGCTTGGGGGCCTCACGTGTCTGATTTTGTTTACTGTGTCAAACAAGGCAAGACTTAGAGCCAGGACGGGGTGGCATTAGGTACATGCTTGTTGTGTTTGTCCACCAGTGGAATGTCTGTGTGACGTTTTGTGTCGTGTTGTTTTGGTGCTGTGCCCTGTCCATAGGGTCTGCCAGGCTTCTCCACAGTTGCCGCTCTGCACAGTAATCAGATCCTCACCGTCAAGGTTCGTGGTTGGCACCCATGCCCCCGCAGTCAGAGCCCTCAATCAGCATAAGAGTGAGCTACAACAGCTCAACTGGCTTTCCGAGTCCAGTCCTTTCCTCACACACACGGGTTATTGGGCACTTGGAACCTCACCTCCATCAGTGAGGTCAAACGTCCATTAAGAAGGAGAATCTTGAGCCTATAAGAGAAGAGCGTATTGACGTCGAAGAGAGGCAGGCAAGCTCTGTGAGGCTGTGCCACGCCTCGGTGGTCTGATTGGCATGCGTCGCAATGCTCTGACAGTTTTCAGTGGATTGAACAATCCTAAATACTCTGGACTTCGGGCATCCGTAAAATGACAGTCGAGTTCGTGCCGCGTTATGCTGGTTGAGGAGTCTGACAGAAATTGAACTGGCGCTTCGTCTCCGGACTTTCCGCTCAGCGTGCAGGATGCAGGTGGCCCCAGGTTACCTGCTTCTTGAATATACAACATTGAAAGAGGTCCAACGCCCACAGCAGAAAAAGATTCATTTCTAACTAAAAATCTGGTTTCCCCATCCCGTTTCAGGGTTCTGTTTCTTTCAAGAAGAGCCAGAGGGTCCGATGTCAGACACAAGCGCCAGTTCTGTTTTGTTTGATGGTTATTATGAGTCTAATGTGTGTATCTTTATTTCTTTCTTGGGGCCTTCTGATGCCTATTCTTCAACTCTCTCATCTCTGAACTCCAACCTTTGACCTCACCTGACTGATCAGATGGTGTTTCCTAAAATCAATCATGGGTTTCTCTCTGCTGATCAGCAGCTCATTAAACGCCGCCTGATTAAGGTAGTGCTCATTCTTGCTCAAGTCTGATTTCTCCTTTACATTCGATTTTTACTCTGTATACTGTTGCTTTACCATTTATCTCTCATAGGCAGAGTGTGGGTGGTGGGTATTTATTTTAAAATATCCTAGAGCAAAATTATGTTTAGTGAGCTGCATTTGTTTGAAATGTATGTGAAAATACCAAAACCAAAAGGTATAGAAAGCCAATCTAAGTTCTTCTTAAATTAAAAAAAAAAAAGGAAGCTTAAAAATTACATGCAGTGATAGATCCAGTTTCTAAGCTCTCTAGCTTTGGTAATTTATAAATTATTACACAGCATGACAAGAGCCTTGTATGTTTAATTTTATAGCTTATGAAAAAGTAAATATTTGTCCAACTATAAATGCAGCCATTTTATTAAGCCAGGTGAATATAACTGATGCAGCATTGTCATGGATAAAGTTATGCAAAAGTTTTCTGCCAGCTCTGAGTATCATGATAACATATACACTATTTCCAAGAGCTGAGAGTGCTGGTTTCTGAGCTGCTTTGATTTCAACAACGTCTACTCAGCTCGCCCAGCATGAATATTTATTTGCTTCCTACTGGCAGGCAAATTGCCTACAGGCTTTACCATTTGTGGTTGTTCTGGGTCTTTTCACAGTATAAATGTGAATTAGATAATAGAAATTTAAAGTGTTGAAAAGAAGACCTGGGTCTTTATCTTTCACGGTTATTGTTGGTCTGTCCCCTTCTCCATTGTAGGGTGACCAAGGACAGGCTGGGCCTCCAGGCCCTCCAGGACCTCCAGGCCCACGAGGGCCTCCTGGGGACACAGGGAAAGATGGCCCCCGCGGAATGCCAGGAGTGCCTGTGAGTTGCTTTTTGGATCAGTTGTTCTCACAGGTTTTGTTTCCTTTAAAGGGCTGAGAATTGGGTTGGAGTTGGGGACGGGGGTGGCAGAGGTCAAGTGAGCGGAATGGGTTGAAGGAAGTGGGATGATAGGAAAGTCCCCGAGCAGAGAGGGCACTGCCAGCTGGAATCTGCTTTACCACTCAACCCTCGGGACACCCACGCAAACCACAGCGAGATGCCTGGAGACAGCAACTGACCTGGTCTTCAGGTAAGCCTCAAGAAGTCTGCGACTGGAGATGCCCGATCTCACTTGTGTCCTGACTGCCATAGAGTACCTCAATGCCTTTGGTTGAAACGGAAGACTAGCTTGAAAAACTAGGTGGGAGATTGATAACATTTTACAAAGGATCAAAATAGAGACAATAAAGTCCTATGCAATTTATGGAAAGTAAAAGAGGTAAATCTTCCTAATATTTATCCCTTGCAAGTAACTTGACCCCCCCAATCACTAGTAAAATTAATGGTTAAAACATCAGTGGTTATGGTTTGAATATCATTTGTCCTTTGTATGTGAAGCTTATTAATAGAAATGACTTAACAGCGATCTCAACATTTAGATCTAAGTACTAATTTACTTAGTACTTAGCTACTAAGATTGGTCAAGTGTCAATAATAGAGTAGTAGCACAGGACACTAGATAAATGGTTTGGTTGGGTAGAGGCAACTCAGCAATTTAAAGAAATACATGGAAAAGGTCAAAAATTTGTACACTTATGACTTTAGGACCTGAAATTCAGGTTTATTGCTGAATTAAATTATTTATTTAATGTATTGCTTTAACTTAAATTATTTTCATCGATGTTTTTGTAGTACAAAAGGAATACTAAAATATTTATCCACAAAGTAGAAAAATTTGAAAATAAAGGCAACCAAAAAAGAAAAAACAAATCGGCCATAGTCATTAATGTTTTGTAGATTACATTTTTATATGTACATATTTATGTAATTTTTGAGTGACTCTGTTTTTTTTCTTGAGTGACTCTTTCTTTAAGACTATAGGACAACCTTCTTATAAGCCTCATACCCCTCACCAAAAGTTGCTATAAATTTGTCATATGAAATAAGGAATTGACTTTCAGCATAATATGCTGGTTGTTAGGACTGCTTTCACTGGACCATCAGAGGTAGTGGTTTCATCCTAAAAGTGTCTTCTAATGTCTCACCTTTTCTTGGGATGAAACCCCAAAAGATAGAGAACCCATAGCTGCTTTACAGTATAATCACTCCTACTCTTTTTATTTAGAATACCTTCTTGGCATAATTCTTAAATCTCTGCTGTAATATAGATTCGTTGTATTAAATCCTAAAATGTTTATAAAATGCATTTGAAGAAAGAACGTCAGTGCTCTTTAAATGACATTGTGTTTGCATTCCTTTCTTTAGCCTAAAAAGTATATATTTGACATTCAAGATCCCTAGTGGATATTGTGAAAAAGAAAAAAAGAAGATTGAAATTGGTTTTTACTGTCTACAGCATTAATAAAATTATCATTATTCTTTTTTAAGGGTGAACCAGGGAAACCGGGAGAGCAAGGCTTGATGGCAAGTATCTGAATTTATCTTTTTCCATACTGAAAAGAATGAAAAGACAAGTTACTCAAAACTGTGGTCCAGACTGTTTGTAACAAGTGTGCCTGTTTTGTGATCTGTAACAAAGAGTGAGAATTAGTAAAAGTTAAAAAGTGATAGGGATAACTGAATCACTGTGCTGTACCCCTGAAGCTAACACAACATTGTAAATGAACTATACTTCAATTTTTTTTAATGGTTAAAAAAAAAAAAATGTATTCCTTTAAAACGAACAACCAAAAAAGAAGTGATAGGGCCTGTCCATCACATGCTAAGGATCACATGACAACACATCTGCAGAACTGATACAGGAGGAAAAAAGAGGGAGATTCCAGGTGAAGCAAGTGACAGAGGATGCTGAGGAAGACTCTGTTATAAGAGATTAAATTCAGGGATATGCCTATTAGCTTAAACAGAAATGAGATTTCAGAGGAACCAGGTGTCACTACCTGTGAACTAGTAGAGCAAACCTTCGACAGTGATTCCAGAGGTTTTTCTTTTGCCGAAGGGAGAGAACAGTTGTGCCTTCTTGATCCCTGAAACTGTTAATAAAACGGTAAGTTAGTGGTTAAAATGTCAGCAGTTATGGTTTGAATATCATTTGTCCTTCCACCCAGAGAGAAACAGTGGTGCGTTCCTGATCTCTGTCATTAAAAAAGATCATGAAATGATTCCTCTTGGACTTGCCCGTAAACACGCAGGTCCCAGCTCCGCAAGTTTGTTTATGCTTTGCCAGTGAAAGAGAAGTTAGGGCAGCTTACTGAGCCCCAAAGAGTAGAATTCCTTCAACCTACCTCTCCCTGTCACTTCCTCCCTGTCTCTGGAGCTACCTTTCTGACGTACTTTGTGACACGAACAATATTGGGGAACACAGGATGACGCTCTAATAACTCAAATTCCAGAGGACAGCTACGTCTCACACTTGCCCTGGATGCAGTGATGACGATCCCCTTGATCATGTCCATTTCCCACGATGTGTGGCACGCAGCCTGCAGGTGCTCAGGACGGAAAATGTATTTAAAAAAAAAATAGAAGCTAGGTCCTAGTGAAACGAATGCACAGGAACACGCTAGTTGGTCAAGAATTAAAACAAATGTGTGCGTGGGCTAAAGGTCAAAGGCTTCTCCCTGCACAGGATGCCTTCAACAGCCCTCCTGGGGAGACAAATCAGCAAGCTGTAGTCCTAGCTGTCATGTAACTGCCTTCAAAACATCACTGGTGAAATGGAAGCATCCTGGGACCACACCTGACCCACTGCCTGGAAATTCTCTGTTTCTGACCTACAGTATCAAGATAGATATTTGATACAGACAATCAGGCCGGGAGTACTATAATGGATTCTTTTTAAAAAGAATAAAATGAAAGAAAAACAACAACAACGAAAGACCATATGTGAAAATTAAATGAAACATCTGTCATCCGTGGTAACTTTGCATACAAGGGCAGCATTAGCTCTCCAGGTTATAGGATCAGAGGGGGTGAAGAATTTTTGGAAAACTACCATATAAATTTTGAAATTGCTTTATGCAGTTGAATGCACCTGTAATTTCTATCGTGGATAACGGTCAAAACATATTCCTCCCATACACTCTTACATCCAAGCCTACTTAGGATTCTTAAGAGCCCTTGTTTGTCCCCAGGTGTGCAGAGCATATGATTTTTATCATTGCCGCAGGCTTTCTACCCTGATGCCCAGTGCAGCACCGTAATATACAAAGTTCTAAAATAAAAATGGATGTTTAAAAAATTATAATCTTATCTTCCTTAAATTCATCACGTTCTAGAATACACGGTGTGGATAACAAATTAGTCCCATTTCCCTACCACTCCTAGCTTAATGTCATTAAATATAAATGTTCCACCTAGTCCTAAATGAATTATGTCATTGTCTTAGTTTGCTCTGGTTTCCCATTTCATATAGCAACTTTTCAGATAAAGATGATCCTGGGTATTTTTCTCTGAACCTCTCTTCTCTCTTTAAACTCTTCAGATACAGTTCATATTCTCATTTCAAAAAATGAAGCTGAGAAACTCAGTTGAAATCACAAATGTTCAAAGGATATGTCTAATGTAGTGATCTTCTAAAGTACAGCATTGTACTGTTCTTAAAGATGTAAAATTCTTTTCTAAAAGAAAACTTGTATAATATATATTTAATAAGTAGACAAATAAGTATATATCTCAGTGAATTTTCACAGTGAACATAGCTGTGCAGCCACAAACCAGATCAAGAAATAGAAGGTTATCATATCCTAGAAACCCCCTTTACCCACCCCCCCATCACCATCTCCCTCTTCTGCCAACACAGATTAATTTTGCCTGTGTTTGAATTTCATATTACTAGAATCATACAATATGTAACTTCTGTGTCTGGCTTCTTTCATCCAACAGTATATTTGTGAGATCATCCACCTCTGTTTTAATAGCCTTCACAGCTGGTTAAAAAAAAAAAAAATTAAGAGGAAGAACCTTACTTCCTTGACTACCCTGTTAAAACTACATCACTCAAATAGCAGTAAATGAATGGTCTGTCTGTCTGACCTTGGGCAAGTCACTTAACCTCTCAATTTTTCATCTGTAAAGAAAGGAAAATCATGCCCTCTCTGCCTCCCCTATAAGGTTGCCAAAGACAAGTGCAATAAATTAGGAGAAAGCCCTTTAAAATATATAATGAAGAATTGTATGAGTATGTTATTATTATTATCACTCAGTTGTTACCTCTACAGTAAATTACAGGTGAGCATGGATTTATATAACAGATGTATTCCTATAAAGTTCTATATGAATCAGATTTTCATAAATCAACATAGCTTAAATGTGCTGGGAAATTTTGCTATTGAAAGCAAGCCCATTCAGAGTCTTTTCATAAAGCAATACAATCCCCTAATTCCTCTTCCCAGCAAACTGAATTTTTACATATTTGCTTAAAGTGAAATATTTCTATTATTTTTAAAAGTATCATTTAAAAAAAATCACTATGTTTACTAACTTAAATAGCACCTGTGTATTTTAACCCATCTCAAAGAGAGAAGATACCGGAAATATAATAGCAGCTTTCATGCGAAGAAAAATTTCCTTAGAAATTTTCTTTTTCCTTTCAAATATTATACGTATGTGTGCGTATGTGGGTGTGTGTGTTTCGACTCAAAGTCTGGTAGAAAGAAAAGTACATATTACTAGTAATTCTGGCCTCAGAACAACTTAGGAGTGTATGACTATCGTCTGTGATCCTTTTTACTGATCTATAAAATGTAGGTAATAATTCCTATTCCACCTATATCACTGGAATATGGTGAGAAGCAAGTGAAATAATAAAAATATGAAAATGCTTTATGGAACACAGACTTACATAAATGAGAAGTATTGCTGTTAAGACAAAAATGTCAAATGACATAACGTGGCATACAGAAAGACCACTCTATGAGACATAAGGGCTAACAACAGTGTGACTATAGCTGTCAATTAAATTAGAGTGTGTCAAATACTGTGATTGATAATGCAACTTATTCCTTTTGTCCTGTTTGTTGCCATCATTGTGTTTGGCCTTCTCCTATATATCACCTCTTCTTACCTCAACACCTTTTCATAACACACCCCTTCTCTTCCACCAGCTCAGACAAGGGAAGATAATATATACCACCGCTCTCATCTTTTCCACAGTACGCAAAACCCACTACCTCTGTTGGTTTGCGCCACGGAGAAGTGTTTGCTTACATGAGGATCTTGAGAGACACTAGAGAACTTTTTAAAATGTAAAATGTCTCTAATGATGAAATGAAAAAACTAGGAATGGTCTAAAATTAGCTCTTTCAAAACTGTTTATGAGTGTGTCCGGTGGGGAATTAGTTTTCATAATCCACGCTATATATTTTATATCGCAAAAATAATCATCTGAAGATTAACAGCATCTCTAATAGAATAAAAAAGAAGTCCTGCCTCTCACGCAGTTCCACATTTATTTAACCCTGCTGTGCACCTATTCCATAAACAAGACCTTCAGGTTTTGCGAGAAGTTCTAGAGGAGATTTTACAAGGTAGAATCATGAGCTAAAGCAAACTGGACTCCATCTAAATAAGGAGAGAATCTCTCTGGCTTATAAAATTAGACTCAAGAATCAAACCAAGAACTGACCACAGCTGGAAATGCTAAAGCGCTGAACCCCGGCACAAATGGCCTTTATTTTTCTGTTCTTCAAGAGTTTAAATAGTTGTTAGAATAGTATTTTTGAAGGTGTCTTTCCTTTTGATATCCTTACTGTTTCTTTCTTTGACAAATATAGTAGTTCTCAAAAACATAAAAGACAAATGATGTATATTCAATATACCAACTAGTCCCAGTTTCCTGCAAATTATTTTTTTGTCCAAAATGTCTATAACCAAGGTTTCATAGACCATATCACTTTCCCTCACTGAAACCCTTCCTTCCTCTCCTGCCCCCCAAATACATGCAAACTCCATAGCGTATCCATTCATCTCTTTCTGAATTATAAGAGTATTTAAAATGTCATTCGTTGGGCCCTGGTGGTGTCTGAGAGTTCAAAACTCAGAAAAGTTTTTCTGTTATTGTTCCTTAAAGTGAAATTTGGATTGTATCCGAAGAAGGTATAGATACTTTTTAGTTTATTTTGATTTTGCCTGCAAACACATTTAATACATTTGTGTCAAGTGAATATAATGTATTTTATGGTAGCTAATAACATAAGCATAGATAATTGCTTCTGCTTCATTTAAAATAAAATTGAATTAACCAATATGTGAAGATTTACTTTAAACATATTTAGTTATAATGCACTGCTATCCCACAGATTTCATAAAACTTACCATTTTACTTAATTGTACTTTGCTGTCTCAACCATATTGATCAGCAGGGTGGCAGACATCGGACACAGTAGCAGGCTTCTCTTCATGATTTTAATCTGGTGAGGCAAACAAACCTTCAAATCACAAATAACCAAAATGACCAAAATCATCTT